CATATTTATTGAGAATAATGACTGCAGTTAATTACTCGGGTTACGTTACATTTTTAAAAAATTATAACCGTTCATCAAAAATTATGAATTTCATTCTCTATCCGATCTCCGACTATCTTTAATTTGCTAAAAGTGTGCGTAATAAATGCTGTCTAAATAATTAGAGTTTACGGTTCTCTGAGGAACGAATTACATTGCCCTACCCGCTGAAGCGACCGTCAAGAGAATAGTAATATGTTGTTCAATTTTTATTATTAATTTCATGGTGTCGGTTTTAATCATTTCATGGATTAAATTTTAGCATAGGTATTTCAAGGAAATTCGTATGTTGGATAATGTGCTCAGAAGATAATATTTGAAATAAAACATAGTATTTTATTGTTCTTCAAAAAATAATCACCCTTCTTCCTTTATTCTTGTCTAAGGGCTTATCGAGGTTTGGCATAATTTTAAAGTAAACTTAGAAGTTCCACCATTATCTTTGAAGCAATTAAGATAAAACGTGCGTAATTTAATTGCTGAATTAACGTTGATTCCTTTTAAAAATCATCAAGAACTCTTTCTTTCTGTTCTAAATCGGAGTATAACTCTTCGAAGAATTTGGAAGAATGTAAATTGATTTTTGTAATCGCTACTATTTCCACATAGGATTTTTTTATTTTAATTTTTAATTCCACATAGGATTTGCATATATGCATGTATCTTGCACTTAATCAATTAACTCATTCAATTCATTTAATCAATCATTCACCGTGCTTCCGTTTGAATATGAACTTTTTAATAAAGTAAACGTGAAAAACTCCGTTGATATTAATTTACTTTTAAATTGACTCGTTCAACAGGGACTTATGCTGTTACGGATTGGAATTTGAATTTCGACTAATTAGTCAATTCAAGTGGAAATGAATCTTTCTCACGCCGTTGAATTTTAAATATCAGATTTTCAATTTTTAATGATTTAATGCCACTTCTCCGTACAAAAAAGTGACTAGGAGTGCTTCGAATTTAGAATAAAATTAGGATTAAATTTAAAATATGATACCATTATATTTTTTGCTCTAATACCTTTTTCTATTATATTTTTTAACAGTTAATATACTATATAATAAAAAATCGTTGCATTGATATTTTTAGTAGATTTTATAACATATGCATTATTTTTTAAGCTGTATTTGTAAATTATTGGTGTTCTGATGTATGTACCTATATGATATACATACATATGCTTTTTAATCCAATTTACCTACCTTGATTGTGGTATTTCCTGTTACATTACCCGTGCGTTCGATTTGAAGTGCATGGTGTAAAATTCCCATTAATTTAAAACAAATTTTTCAATGCCCGTTTCTCCGTCCGGTGGCGCGTTTTTTATGATGTGTTCGTTTCATAAATCCACTTTGATATTCTCTGTGGGTAAACGATTCCCTGAAACGGAAAATAATCCCATCTCATTTACATTGTGCTTTCTACTATTCCATACCCGACATCGGAATCCTCCGGTGATCTGCATCTATTCGTTTTGCATAACAGGACAGATTCGAAAACGTTAAATCTTTTTAATCGAAAATTTTTAGTTTTATGAAAAATTTTATGCCAACAAAAAGTAGAAGAGTTGCGTCGAAATGAATAGATCAACATAGACTCAATAGTTGTTTTATTAAATGTTATATGAATATACGCATATAATAAATTTTGTAATTATTATTTCAAATAATAAATATCATATGGTTGAGCATTTTGATCGATTTTAATTTGAATAAATAAAATAAAATTTAATGTAAACAATATTCAAATTTATTTTAAATTGGTTAAGTTAATAAACATATTTTTTTATTAATACCTATAGAACGTTACAGACAATACAGAAATTTCGAGTAATTAATTTAATTTTTAATCTCCGAATAATGGAGCATATTTCGCACGGAGAATACTTCAACCTCTCATCTGGAGTTAAATCTCTACTGACGCGATAAAGCGGCTGTAAGTAGCTGAAAAGTTCCGCATTGTTTCCGGCTCTTAGTTTTTCCTCGGCCTTTGCGTTTTTACGTTCTCGCACCTAAACCGTTCGGATTCCCGGTCGCTTATTTAAGGGAATTAAATAAATCGAGGTCTGACTAGTCCATGGATCAACAGGATAAATTGGAGGCGATAAATCGAAGGTCCTTTTAAGAAAAACGACGACGTTGCGAATTACAATTGAACGCACGAATTCAGCAACAAGAACACTCCGATGCTCGTTTTAATTTCAACGATATTATGCGGAACGCAATAAATATAATTAAGAGAATATATGAAGAAGTGTTACGTAAAAAGTTAGATAATTAAGTATAATGGAAGGAGTCGTTTTGTTTCTCGTCTTGTTTCTTTTGTTTTTACTACACTTCCTCCTCATTAAATCGACTGGCGGCGGATTGAAGTAAATCCCTCAATAATAGAGTTTCATCAAAGAAATGACTTCCCTAATTCGCATTGCACAAATCTACAAAGTTATTTAAACATTCGAAGTACCCGTTGAATTCGCCTCTCGAAGTGTAATTTCATTAGCCCAATTCCGAATTGGAATTTCAGCAAAACTTGGAAAATACTTTATTAACTCAATTATGAACTAAAATTATGGTTACACTACCGATTCGATGTTAGCAGAGGGCGTTTTAATGTTTCCGAAGTGTACACAAAGTGTTACAATTTGTCTATTCGTTTGAGTGTAATAATTATGTTTAAAAATGTATATACATGAAGGTAATGTGGCAAACGGATTTAAATGGATTCTTGCCACTTTAATTAACGCCTCATCCTGTATATTTATAAAGTATTTTTTAGTATTTTACTAAATTCATTCAAACTTTAATAATCCTATAAAACTGTGTTTAATTTGGTTTAATTAAATTTCCTGAGTTTAGCTCAGATTACAAGTACAAATTTTGTATCTATAATACTGTACTTTTACATAAAATGGCTTACAAAAAGTATCTAAATATAAACCTACACTTATACAACTAAGTAAATACTCTTTGTTTTTGTTTTTAAACTCTTCCCAAAAACACAATACTTCAGAAATAATAAGGTAATAAAAATGTCAACGATCCTGAGATCGGAATAAAACGGCACAACTGCTTATTTTGATACTGACAAGTTGTATTAGTTTTTTAGTAGATTAATTAGTCTTTTATCCTTCACTCAGACCAAAATAGCATAGAAAGTCTGAAGACACGAACGAAAAAATGTTAATGCTGAAAGCATCCTTCAAATTATAAGAAATGGTAGTTTTTTTTAACATTGGAAAAAACACATTTTATTTAGTTAAATTCTATTCTAGGGTGCTCCGAATGCCCTATAAAAATGATTTCTTCAAAAATACAATACTCTATTTAATAAAAGATTCACCATTCAGAATGTGTTGTTAAAATTATGTCATAGTCTTCGTAGGTTAAGTAAACAATATTTATAAAATAATTGATGTATTTATTGTATCGGTGAAAAAATTAAGTTAATTCGAAATATAAATGTTTCGGTAACCCTGGATTAGGTATAATCTAATCTTATGTACATGATAAAAAGTTTGACATTATTTTTTATTTATCTCTAAACAAAAAAAAGTCTCAGGTATGAGAGGATTATTGGATTTTCCAAGTGATAAGTTGTCTCATTTTCAAAATCAAATTTGATTAAAAATTAAAAACTTAAAATTTAAAAAATTTCTATTATCCTCTAATATCTTTTTTACCACTCTACCCGCTTCTTCCATTAGCCCTTTCCAATTTAATGGGCGTAGAGTAATATTTTTATTTAACGAGTTCTTACATAATCTTAATAGAGTAGAACAAAGAATCTTCCTATTTAAAATTTGAAAACAGATTAAGGTTACACCCCTTTGAATTCCTTCCAGCAAAATAATGCGTTTGAAGTTTAAATTGGTTACAGAAAAGGTATACGTTAAATAAATTTTTGAAAGTGGTAATTTTTTTTTGTTTTATTTGTGTTGAATACATACTATTCTATTATCAACGATGTATAGTGATTACAATTATATTTATAGATATCTATTTCTATTATTTGTTCCAAAAGGGTTATAAAAATATTACAGCAGATCACGTTGGAATACCCTAAAACATAACATTATTTATCAGTAACATATTCTTATAGATATACTATAACAAACTGGAGCATAATGGACATAAATAAATTAAACATCATCATCCATTATTCAGTCCCTTCATCAAGTATTATATTTCGATAACAATTTTCCTACAAATCCATACGGTAGAACGGAAAACCATCAATAAATAAGTAATTGTAATAGTTATTCGTAACTTAATGTAGGCCATTAAATGTGTTATTTTTAGTTTTGAAACAGTCCTAATCAGAAAAAAAGGATTACTAGTAATTTTGATGTGGCGTAGGTGTAAATTATGATTTACAAAAAATACGTTGGATTTGTCCACTTAATGCGTGAACAATAAACATTTTTTGAAAGTCATAACAGTGCAGCAAAAACTCTGTAAAATTAAGTACCTATTATCAAAATATGAAATTTTGTAGGTATTTTACATATCTTTGTGATCTGATTATTTAATTCGCGTATCGTAACAACCGTCTGCTTGGTAATTGTATTTAATTTGTTTAGAAAAATTAAAAAGTTGCAGATAAGTATGTCGGCAAAGTGTACAGTCATGTAAATTATTACCTTTTTATCAAATATTTCTGGTACTTATTGTTTTAAAATGTAATCTTCTGCATTAATAGAGTCAATTTTTGAAATTATTATAGCTTTAAGTAACTTTATTATCATTTAGCTAAAATTTATTTCTAGTATTTACAAGAGCATCCACACTTGCTTTAAGTGTGCCTAATGAGAATCGTTTATTAAGAAATCGATTTGAATCGGAGATAATATTATAATGTAAAATAACATATCTGTCTACCGATGATAAAATGGAAGAAATACCGTTGAAAAGATTAGTTAAAAAAAATAATTGTCAGAATACTGATCGTTGTTCAGAATGCCTCAGAATTATGTTCACGAAAGTGAGTAATTTTTTGAATGTAAGTTTCTACTTATAATTCGATAATGAATCAATTTTAGAACCCTTAACGCCAACTTCTTACGAAAGTAATACGAAGATAAAAAATGAGACGGAGCCACCGAACGAGAAACCCACTGATCATCTTTACCTAGTGCACATCTGTTCTTTCTTATTAGGCTTCATGTCAGTGGTACCTTTTTTCATAATCAGCACAGCAGCAAAGGTAAGTACATACATTATTACGGCCACTCCGTTGTGCTGTAGGTAATTTTATAATTTTTTTGCAGTATTGGTTTTATAAATTTAGAGATCCTTCCCAACCCTATCCGTCTACTGATGGCAACAATAGAACAACATTGCAAACTTATTACCAAACTTCAGCGCAAGTGGCCCAACAGCTTCCCTCTGTTCTATTTTGTTTCTTCTGGACTGCTTACGGCCATAAAGTATTACCTATTACCCGGACAATATGGGCCCTTTTCGTTTTTATAATTTTGTATATAGTTCTTACTATATTTACGAAGATCAACACTGATTCGTGTGAGTATCTTCATTTGCATATCAAATTTGAGTACTTCCCGAAGTAAAAAATAACGGAGTAAGTTATTGTTGGGTTAAGTGTAATGTTTCTTCAATTTTTACCGCAGACACAATTATCTTATTTTTTACTACTTTTACTTTATGTGTAAAGAATTTAATTTTTCAAGTACCTAATCGCACTGAACAAAGACACGATGCGCTGATAGCGAATGAGGTCGTTGAAAAAATTGATTTTTTTCTAATTATTGAAAAAATAATTACATTCGCAAAATGGCGACCAAATTTTGAAGCGATTCTAATTCCTACAATAAATAAGTTTAGCAATAATGTGAACACAGCATAATAATTTATATAAACTTAATCGTAATATTTTTTTTAGGGGAACTGACATTCTTTATTATTGTGTTGATTTTGCTCGTAATTAATACTGGTAAGTGCATTTTTTTATAAAATCTTTTCGATAATTCTTGGTTATTCCATAGCTTTAATGGCTACTCTTCAAATGTCGACGGTTGTGCTGATGGCCAGACTCCCGTTGGACTACCTCTTGTTCTTCCTGGTGGGCAACCAGGGGAATGTGTTCGTTACGATCCTGCAAATCATTAGCCTGGCCGTCACGGACGACGATTCGACGACGGCGTTGATTTACTTCGGAGTCAATGTGGTAGTCATGATACTAGCGTTTGTGCTGTTGATGCTAGCCAGGAGGACCGACGTGTTCAAATACTACCAAGTGGAAATTACGCAATCTCAGAAATCGGAAACGCTAAGCTGGACGGAATCGATGGCTTTGATAAAGAAGGTATGGCCCTGCATGGCCATTATTATTCTCTGTTACGGCGCCTCGATGGCCGTGCATCCGAGTATTTCCACGTTGGTTGTGTCCCAGTACGAATTAGATAAATCGCAGTGGTCTGGTAAGTCCGCATTTAAAACTAGTAATTAAGAAGTTTATATTGATTTATTTTTCAGATAAATACTTTACTCCTGTTTGCGCTTTTCTCGTATCAGAACTGTCCGCTGTGTTTGGAAGGATAGTTTCCAAAAAAATCATTATAAACGTATGTTTACATCAGGACTCAATATTGTTTTATAAATAAGCAAAAATTTTTTACAGGCGAACAATAAATTATATTTCATCGCTGTCGCAGCGGGAAGGTTCATATTGTTGATTTCAATAGGTCTATTTTTGAACGCGAAACCCAGGACAATGCCTGTGATATTTGGAAAAGATTGGGAATTCGCGCTTTACATGTTTTTTTTCGGCTTCTCCCAGGGCTTATTGTTGAACATTTGTTCTATGAGCATGAAAAGGTAAAATGTAAAAAAATCATATCTACGCTTTTAGTATATGTAATGATTCATTAGCATTTTGTTTATTAACTTTTTTATTTCTGTTGTACTGCAGTTTGGCGCCAGGACAGCAAGATGTCGCATTAAAATTCGTGTCTTTGACTACAGCCATATGCAGTACTGCCTTTGTAGCCAATGGTATGATAGCAGTTAAAGTATTATCTATTTGAACTTTAGATTTACATACTTATTTAATTATAATTGTCTATTTATTAATTTGTGTATAAAATTTATTTTTTTAACAAACTACATTTTTTTTATTTCTTCATCGCTCCCAATATTTAAATATAACGATTGACGCATATGCAAGAAAGTGCATTGATGGATGATTGGACGCTTTTCAACCCTCTCCCGACCATCGAAGGCCGTGCATCCTGCGAGTCTGCCTGGAATAAGCGCTCCCCCTGAGAATGCGTTAACGGTCCCAAAACTTTCAACTCTTGCCTGTGCCGCTCGACGCTCGACGTCGCCGTTCATTCCTGCTCACGACGCGGCGCCGTTCGTGCAATTCTCACTCAAATTTGCGCGCTTTCGGGAACCGAGATTTACGCGCCCGGCGAATAACAGAACGGACTGCCGCCCGGCGTTTTGGAAACCTAATAGGTTTTTCGATTTTTCGACGATTATTGTAAGATTGCCCTATGTAGTTCGGTTTTGTATATGCTAGAAAAGTTTTGTATAAAAAAACTGGTGATGTGATTTCGGGAAGTCTGTGAAGGGGTAACGTTCTGAAGAGACTGAACCCCGACTGAACAAGATGCTTTTTAAGGCTGATTTGTCGTTTATAATTCTTTTAACAGGTGAGTTATTTTTGATGTTGTGTGCATTAGGAAGAATATTCCACTGTAAATTTTATAATTTTTGAATAGTATTAATATATAATTATATAATAATATTAACAATGCAAATAGGTAATTTAGTTCGGATCCTATTAAATTTTGAATTTAAGCCAATGTATGTAGTGTATTCATGTTGCTCTGAATATTATATCAGATTTTACAATAGGCAACTTTTATATTCCACATTTTTCAGTCTCCCGTCAACATATCCTTTAATCCTTCATTACAATAAACCTATCACGAACTATCATGTATTCGGCTCGTGTATTCTGGGGAACAAAATTTTCAATCTATCACTACATTTATGTATAACGAAGCGTTCGATCGCATTGACAGAAGAAGATTGAATTAAATTTTATATAGGATGAGCATTTTTGTAAGAAGGTTTTAAATAAAATTCTTAAAATTATCCAATTAGTAAGAAAAAGTCATTTTTTTTAAAACCACATTATGGTATATTATCATAAACACACTGAAAGACACATAAGGGAAAGTAGGCAAAAGATTTTTTTACTTACATAATTAAGTACCGTAATGCTAAATTTTCGGATATCATGAAAGATTAGGCAACTGCTTGTCTTAATAAAACATCAATTCTAATAAAAAGTCGAAGCCAACATGAAACCGAACTTTTTTTTAGCGAAAGGGTAAGTGGAAGGCACGCGACACAACTTTATTCGTTTATCACGCTATTAAAATTTATTACACTCCGATTGGACGGTTACCATTACCAGAATAGCTTTATTTTCATGCATACCCGTCGATCTAATCGTAATTTAATCACCAAATGAAATTGTCAATGGACACGTGTAAACAATAAAGGAGTTTCGTGGAAAATCTCAATTCTTGATCCGTGGAATTTGTCTTTATACTGTTCCTTAAGTCTGCTGGAACTTTATTTTTTAGGGACTTATTAAATTTCAGTCATCATTAAATAGTTCATCAAACAAAAAACAACTTCGTACAAATTCGCCAAAAATTGGATATTGAATTTTAAATAACTTTGACATACGTAAATTGCCTATTAGGAAACGTTAAATTGGCAATTTAAAAATGTTTCGATAAAAATTTTTAGTTGATTTTAGTCGTTAAATGCTGATATCTAATTTTTAAAAGCGAACAATTCGCAAATATGCTACATTAATTTGTCTATAGCGTATGTACTTTTCTAGCAAATACGGCCAATTATTTTTCGATTCGAAATAAAATTACACTCGTTTGGCCTTTTTGGAATTTATAACGTATTTTTTCAAAATAGGCCGATTATTTTTCGGCGCTAACTCAGTACTGGTTTCAACATTTTTCTACAATACCTAAAATTTTTCAACAGTTGCAATTAATGCCGTGAGTCCGGATCTGTTGTGGAAATTTAAAACGGCAAATGATTTCGATTTATACGCCATTTCAATTTTATTTTAAAACGAACGAACAACTGAAATGTTGAACAAACACGAAATCAATTTTTGCATTTAATTTTGATACCGGGGTTCATTTAACTGGACTAATAAACAGACGAGGAAATCTAATTTTCGAGTGTTTAACAAACGTTTATAAAAATACGCTCGATTGATCGAAATGCGAGTTTTATTATCTTTACAAAAAAAATCGGTAATTATGTAATTTCGCTGATTATAATACTTGATGATAAGAGTAAATATCTAGAAACCTACTTACTGTATCTGAAATTCGACAACCTCGGTTTTGTTTTAGAAAACCCGTCAGTGACAGGATTACCGTCTATAGCACTCGCACAGCGTTTCCTAAAAAGGAAAAAAAAAGGAAAATTAATTAAAGAAAACGAGCAAACGAAAATCTCATAATTGGATAAAACTGACAGAAATAAACGTGCAGCGCCAATTCCCAATGCAAACGACTACTTCAATCGAAGATACTTTGGATTTTAGTTGTCCCAAATTCCCGTTGAAAAACTATGTTTCTCTGGGGGAAACAGAATTTCAATTGCCAGGGAAAAGTAATTACAAAAATTGAAGTCAACAGAATTAGGCGCGCCGTAATTTTTACAGAAAACTTAAGCGCTACACTTGAGCTTTTTTCAGTTGACTTAATTAGCATTGAATAATTTCGCGAGTGGCTGAAAGAACGCACACAAAATTTTTCCTGCAATAGAACGTTTGTCAACTTTAAATCTGCATACAGAATGCAGTTGCCGCCGAACAAAGAGACGAGCATGTATGCTGACATTCGTAAAGCCTTTATGCATCGGGTGTTTACGGGAACCTCGCTCAAACACGGTCGAACGTATTCCGACTCATTAGCGACCATTTGTTTATCCTTTTCAAAGGAGAGGGAAATCAAATGTTGCAGGGATAATCTAGTAAACGCGAACTAATCAATAGAAAAATTACTTTCAATTAAATCACACCGTTAAGGCCTCCATTAATTAGAATTCAAGCTATGTATGAACTGATAAACTTCTGGTTTAGGGATTACCTCGATACAGCAATACCAGCTCGACGATATTTTATCTAAAACGTGAGACCTTCAATTTCACAAACACGTATGCAAATTTTATTACCTCCACCTCTGACAATTAGGATAGTTAACGAGCTATCCTGCCGCCATATTGTCGTTTCTCCTATTTTCTCCTCGTCCGTAACCGTTCCTATATATTGCTCGCGCCACTTGCGCCTCGCTCTAAATCCGGCTTAAACTTTGGATTAAATATGTGTTTTGCATGGATTACCGTTAACAAGGTAGGCAAATAATTCAGAAATTACGTTTAACGCCGACTTTATACCTGATAGGCGTTTGCACTTGCATCGGACAAATGCGCTCCGGGAGGCGCTAAATATATATATATACATGTTAGGTGGGTGTTTAGATTAAAGTGGCTGATAGCTGGAATCCGCAAACTAAAGTCTACAAGAATGTATTGTTTGCTTTAAGTTTATTTAATATGATGGAACTCGAAAGAAGGATGCAATATGACATAAACAAATTTAACTTGTTTTTAAGCAGACAACTCTAGATAACGACCATTAAAAAGTTATTTAATTCCTTTTATGATACAAATATGTATACATTTTACAAAGCAAATTTGATTAAGTACTGACCATTAAGAACGATAAACCTATAGATTTATGTACAAATATCCTATTCGATTTCTTATAATAAAAGGAAATGATCCTTTACATGGCCTTTTTCCATCGTTCAATATTAATCCGAGCCTAATTAGCGCCATTTACTAGTTAGTTAAATCCATTTGAGTCTTATTGTATAGATTTATTTATTATTATAAATACATGATGTCGCTCTGAAATTTGTTAGTCTATCTATAGCAATTTTTAACGTGCTTTTCGCAGCAAATCGTTTTCTAACACTCAAAGTGATTACTCTTTGATGAAGATTTTTTTGAATGAACCTATAATCGTTATTCTAACAATCAAAACGAACGAATCAAATAAAAGAAGAAATAATTCGAAATTTTTATTTTACTTTTACCACTTCTTACTCTGATGAACTCCCAACATTATTTCGAGATGTTAAAAATACATGTTTGATTGTCAATGACTAGTTTAAAAAAAAAAGATAACACCGAATAGTAATTATGACACTGTAATAGTAGAGTTTATGCAAACGATGAGCGAGCGGAAAATTAAATTTTAAAGCGAACCGGCGACCCGCATTTTCCTGCAATTCAATTTTGTTTATCTGTTAAGTCAAAAGCGCCCTCGGGGAGATTTTGAAATTTAGACCTTTAGACGCCCTAGTTGGAGAGTTAGTCCATTTGATTGGCTAATAATTCCCAAGGTAGGGAATATTAAATTGACCGCACAATTTCACAGAGTTATCCGCCACTATTTTATCCAGGGATTATTTTAATGAATTAGTTGCGGAAGTTACATATTCGCTAATATTAAATTTTATTATTGATCTGGTGCTTCATTTGGTAATGCTACCTTCATGAATTCTATCATAGTCTATATTACATTTCAACAAAATTCAAAGCATATTCCACTATACATGAAAACACAATTGCCTACTTATCAACACACGAGTATGTTCTAAAATAATAACACTGTTGGTGCTCGAACTTATACCTATAATTAGAACTACAAAATTTTCAAATGTAATTTTCTACCATCATTGTTAAAACAATTCCTCTTTCATCTTTGTTTTTTTTAAATCTTTTATTTAACCTATAAAAATCCTCCGACGTTCCTTTCGGGCTTCCTTCCTCAAGTGCCGGCTCTTTGAAGCCGTCCTTTACGAAATCGTCTACGCGCGATCGAAAAAGCCCTTCAAGGGTTAACCTTCCCAAAGTTCATTATGCTGACAGAAGTTTGTTGTACGCAAATTGGATTTGATGTATGACGGACCGTACGAGGGAAATATGTAAAGCTTTATTTCTCTTATTCCGCTTTGGCTCATCTTCATTATAATCCC